CACTTTACCCTTCAGCCTAAACCTCAGCCCCCCCCCCCCCTCTCTCTACATCAACCAATGCTATACCTATGGCCAAAATGGCCTTTCCAAGATTACTGGAACTTCGAAGTCCATCTCTTAGTCTAGAATCACAAGTCAGCTAGAAAGATAAAACTCTCTACCGTGACTAACACATCATAGAGAATTCTGAAGGGCCTATTAACTGACCTATCAGCCATCATCAGTCTCACGGCAGCAAGTTTTGGAGCCTCCAACCCTAGTCATTTGTATATATCTAGTGGCATGAGACTAATACTAGCTCCCAAGTCACACAGAGCAATAGCAAACTTTAATGCACCAATTGTGCAAGGTATGGTAAACGCATTTCGGTCCTCTTTTTTGCACCAAGGACATTGAAGCAACATCACTAGAATGGTGAACATTATTTGCACGTTAAAAACTTGCCTCCCTCTTCTTTGTCACTAAGTATTTCATGAACTTAGAGTAATCCTGTACTTTCTTCAAAGCTTGTACAAATGGAATATTGACTGATAGCTGATGCAACATGGATATAAATTTCAAGAACTTTCCATCCTCAATTTTTTTGAACCTTTGAGGGAATGGAGGAGGAGGTCTGGGAATCAATTGTAAAGGTTGTGATGCCTTTATCATAGATTCTTTAGTTTTGCTTACCCTTTGATCAACTCCTGTCGATCTCTCTACCCTTCTAGATACCTCTGGATACTTTAGATCCTCTACATTAACCTCTTTTCAGCGTCTCAATCTACACTTTTTTCATGCTCAATGCTTGCAGGTGTAGATTCCGGTAGTGATTTACCACTTATTGTGGTGCTAGCCATGCAGTGCCTATATTTATTTGGGTTTTGAATGGTATCACTAGGCAGTGTCCGAGTTTTCCTTTAGTTAAATGAGGTAGAGAGTTGCCCTATCTTATCTTCCAATTGCTTAAAGAAGTAGTGTGTGACTCCACAAGTTGACTCATGTTAGAGAAATCACTTTTCAACTCTTTGACTCCCAATATGTAGATTCAACTCTCTGTAAAACCTTTGCTAACATGTCTTCCATCCTAGACCCGCTACACCCACTACGTTTTCTATCTCTGTTACCCAGAGGTACATACACACCACTTCACTCATTTTTGAACTCCTTCTAGCTTTGCCAGTTTCCTTGATCTTTGCTTCCTGGTATGTCATATTGACGATCCCGCTGATAATTCTTACCTTGATTTCTAGAGTTATTACCTTGGTCTCCTGAATGATAATTGTGAAAAGCCCAAGTTTGTTCAAGTACTTCACCTCTTCATCAAATCAACATCCTACTCTTCATACTTGTTTGCCACACCTACTAGATTGACCTTATCTTGACCATCTACGAGATGTTTCTTGAGGATGTCTATTTGGATTTTCATGTGAGCCATATCTTGGTCGCGCTCTTCCTCTCTCTTTCTATGTTTAACTGAGACTTCAAATGTGAACCCAATGTTTCTAATTTCATCATATCTAGTGTTCCAAGCTCTGTTGTTCTTTGATACCTCATCCATGACAATCATGACCTCACAAAATGGTTTCCTAATGAAGGATCCACCACACACTACATCCATAACTAATTTGTTCACAAGGTTTAATGACTTGTAAAATACCTGTTTTAAATGAATGTAACTAAAGCCATGATATGGATATTTCTTTAAATTTTGGCTAAATATCCATTATGTATCATGCATTGCTTCACCTGGTAGTTTCTTGTGAGAACCTCTTTAATATTTCATTTTTATCTCTTTCGCTTTTGGAAAAAACCTTTCCATGAATCCTCCCTCAGTTCTGCCCAAGCTCTAATAGAATCATGTGGCAACTGATTCAGCTAGTTTGTTGCCTCCCCTGTTAGAAACAATGCTAACAACCTTAGTCTCATTACAGTTTGACTTACTTCAAGAATCTCTGCCAATTTGCAAATTGTGACAAAGTTCATCAAGTGATAATTTGCGTCCTTACCAGGTGTCCCTCTAACTATCCCCTTCAGGTTCAGTAATTGAATCATGGTTCTAGTGATTGTAAACTTTACTCCTAGTTGAAATACTGGAAGCAATATAGCTCCAATAGCTCCTAGTCCATCCAACTCCAAATCATCTTCTTCGAATGCCAACCGTGCTGGTAGTTGGCCTCTACTTCTTGGAGATAATGGTTGTTGTTGAGGAGGGGGTTATCTTTTATTCCTCTTTGTCCTCAACATTCACTCTGTTTGGGTCATTTCTACTGATTTTGAGCACACCTCGCTAGGGCCTCAGCATTCTGTCTCAACCTCTACTTTTGGGCTTCAAGTTCTTGTGCATTCACCATTATCCTGATAGTTCATCTTAACTTAGGATTGTAAAGAATAAAAGGTTCTCCCTTACTTCTGGTATTTGGCATGCACTGTATAATTAACCTTTTGAAGACACAGACAATAAACAAAAAGTAAAATTAGGAAATACAACGACAACTGAAACAATAGATAGGAGAGTATTTCTAAACCAAAATTCCCCAGCAACAACGCCAAAGTTTAATACGTCCAAAGGTATACCTCAATTATGAAGTATAAGCAGTCGAAGTCAATTATAAAACTCAAGTAGAGTTTAGATCAATCCCATAGGGAATTTATAGTAGAAATAATTGTACTAGTGCTTTTATTCAATTGTAATTAATATTCCCTAATAAACTAAATTGAAGAAAGTAATGAGTGGGTTGTTGTTGTTGTATTTAAGTAACCAATTGTTATTAAACTTGAGAAGTTAACAGTAGCAAACGATGGCTCCAAGATTTGATGTTTGATTAAAGTAGACTAAAATTGTGTTACCGTGACCTTTAACCTAACAACTTGAATCCTTACACAAATAACAATTTCTTGACAAATTTATACCTTCATACCAAGCTAAATACATCTAAACACTTTTCATCCATATTAGATGAATATCACTCTTCTCCTCTCAGACTCAGAGTGTTTTGGAGTTGACTCTTGCTTTTTTGTGAAGAACATTATTCTCTCTCAAGCTCAAATATTCAAAACAAGTTACTAGATCTCGTTTCTAGATTTTCCTAAACATTACCTTTCTCTCGAACAAGTGATTAATACAGGCATGTTATAATGTGTGCACTTATTAGAAATCATTATTATGATAATACAAAATTTATTCATGTTTGATCTTAATGTTGTGTTTTAGTCATGGTTCCCACAATCATAGTTGTATTGTTTAACCACTCATATTTTCAATAAACC